TGCCTTCCCCTCCCTCTCTGGCCGGGTTTCGCTGTGTCTGACCTGGAAGATGACTCCTTTGCTGTTATCCGAGGTGACCTTGCCCAGTGATGCCTTCCCCTCCCTCTCTAGCCGGGTTTTTCTGTGTCTGACCTGGAAGACGACTCCTTTGCTGTTATCCGAGGATATTTAACATAAAAAAAAAACCCAATGGAAGAAATAGCAACTGTTGGCAAGGAAATTGGAGCCCTGATCTATTGCTAGTGGAAATTAAAAATTATATAGGCATTATGGAAAACAGTCTGGAAGTTTTAAAAATGTTAAACATAGTACTAACTTATGAAGCCAAAATTCCCAATTCTGGATCTATGCTTGAAGAATGTGAAAGACAAATGCACACCATTGTTTACTGCAGCACTTTCACAATAGCCAACAGGTAGAAAGAACCTAAATGTCCGCTAGCAGATGAATAGATAAACAAAACATGGTCCATATAAACAAATGAAATACTACTCAGATAAAACGAAAAATAAAATATTGGACTGACCCACTGAAAGGTCAACTATGAGTTGGTTCTGACTTGACAGCACTTAACAACAGCAACAGCCTATATATACATAGAAGATATATGTATAAAATAGATATTTATGGCACATAACAACAAATACACACACATACATATAAACCAAGAAGTTGTTGTCCCAAACAGAACAAGAGAGCAGCACTTCATGGTTTAAAATCAGGAAAAGATGTGCATCAGGGTTGCATTCTTTCTCCACACCTATTCAATCTGTCTGCTGAACAAATCATTCGAAAAGCTGGACTCTATGATAAAGAATGTCATCAAGATTGGAGGAAGACTCATCAACAACCTGCATTATGCAGATGGCACAACCTTCTTTGCAGGAAGTAGACTTGAAACACTGCTGAAGAAGATGAAAGACTACAGCCTTCAATATTGATTATATTTCACAAAAATTCTCACCACTAGACTAATAGGCAACATCATGACAGATGAAGAAAAGAGTGAAGTCATTATGGATTTCACTCTACTTGGATTCACAATTAGCACTCATGGTAGCAGCAGTCAAGAAATCAAAAGAATTGAGGGACACAGTGATTTTAATGATGGACTTGAGCATATGGGAGATGATAAATCTGGCACAGGACAGAGCAAGGTTCAAATCTGTCGTCCATAGGACTGCTATGAGTTGTGATCAACTTCAGTGATACCTAACAGCATAAGGGTCTTTTGTTTATATCATTTGTATTCCAGACATCAACTATTTAATATGTCTTGAACGCATGTTCAATCTATTTGGGACTGCAAAAGGCAGTAAAAACTTCAATTTCTTAATGGAACACAGCAACAAATACACACACACACACACACACACACACACACACACATACACACATACAAACCAAGAACCTGTTGTCCCAACTTGAGTGGTTGGTTCATATATTTGAATAATAGTTGTATTTACAGGCCTTCCTTTTATGAGAGTGTGTGTATGTGTGTGTGTGTGTACACATATAAAACCTATCACTGAAGATAGATCTTTAAATGTTTTTGTCTATGAATTTGCTGTGACACTATTCATCTTCAATTTGTCATTCCCAGTATAGTAAATTGTATAATTGTCTGATTCAAAATGACCAATACCAGGCCATCTCGGCTCACTCATGCCTAGGATGTCAATCTCTATGTGTTTTATTTCACTTTTTATAATTTCTATTTTTCCCGAGATTCATACTTTGTACATTCTGTGTTCCAATTATTAATGGCTGTCTCCTCATATTTAGTTTTGTCACATCAGTATACGAAGGTCCTTCATTGAGTGAAAGCTCTAATCTAACCATGTCATTAAGACAGACTTGACTTTGAGGAGACGGCTCTCTCCCAGTTGCATATTGAGTGCCTTTCTGACTGGAGAGGCTCATTTTCTAGATGTAGATTTTAAAAACATACTAGATGAGGGAAAGAATTATCTAAAAGAAATATATAATTTTTATTTGCATTACAATGGTTGAGAATAAGGGGTGCATAGTGAAGTGGACTGGGCACAAGGTGAGGGAGGAAATTGTGCGACAATGAAAGAATCTTTTTAAAGAGAAAAGGCAAACTGGAGAGGGGCTAGGGAGGAAAATGTGCAACAATGAATGAATGGAAATCCAGGTTTTCTGTAAACTTTCATTAAACTATCAATAAAATTAAAAAGAGAAAACATTCTACTGTTATTCATAGAGTTTTCAAGGGTTTGTTATTTCAGAAGTGAATTCCTGCTTCTTTGTCTTAGTCTGGAAGCTATGCTGAAACCTGTTTACCATGGAAGCCCATGCTGGTATTTCATAGCAACACATAGCCGCCACAGGATGGGAAAGTGACAGATGAGTGGTAGACAGAACTATGTACATTTCCCCTACTTATGTATGAAGTGAGTTTATGCCCATGATTATGTTAAGATTGTACTCTGGGGTTTTGCCCTTTATTCCCATGATTTGGGTAATTGCTCTTAAAAATAATGACCCAAATTTTTCGTGCATATGTCCTCAATTAATGCAGGAGATAAGAGATAAAATTTTAAAGTTATCTTTGCAAGTTATATATAATATTGTACTTGGGGCGCAAAGGGCATTATTTCTGTGATTGCTCTTCAGAGAGACTAAGTACATTAGTGTTTATCCATTTGTTTAGCAGAAGATGTGCTTTTGTTGTGTTTTTCTTTACTCTCAAAGAAAAATGAGAGGAAAAAAAGAAGAAGAAAAAGTAAAAGAAGAGGAAGAGGTTTTGCTAGTACCAAAGATCACTGGAGAAATTCCTGAAAAAGAATGGTGTCCTCCTTCTGACCCGAACTTCTCCCTTTATGTCTCTGAAGTGACCAAAACAATCCTACCCATAACTAACATGAAGGAAAAGATTGAGGCTCTTGCAAAGTAAGTTGTTTATATATTTCTATATGCAGGTATGTAGCATGCCTTATGAAATAGGGTGTTATATGAAAGTTATATAAACACAGTATCATATAAAATGCATATGCTTGCTTGCATTTGATACACAAAGTAATCTCCTTGAAAGCAACGCTAGCTATCCATTAATGTCTGGAGTCTCAGGGTTTACAAACTTGGGCTTGCAATTGGCTGCCCCTGGGCACATAACTCTCTTTGAACAGCCCCCCTCCACTCACAGGAAACACCAAGGATGAAGTCGAATGTCCATAGCCCAGTGTCTTCCCACAGGCACTAACCTGAAGACAGCAAAGTAGGGCATGCACTAATGGCAGCTGGAACAGCCACAACTTGGCTGGGGTCAAACAGCTCGAGGGCTGCAGCCAAGCTTGGCAGCCTCGTGAGCCAAGCTGTAGCTGCTGCAGTAAACTCAACACCAGCCCTGCCTCCTGGCACCTTTCCAAGCAAGCTCTTCCTCCCTGTGCCACTGAAGTCCATGCAGACAGACCTTGCCTGAGCTGCCATCGTGTTGCATATACCTGTATTTTCTTTATCTCTGGAAAATGTTTTCAATATTAGCATTTTGATCTCTTTATAAAGCTTTAAGATAAATAAACCACAGTAAAACAGAATTTATGTAGTGTCCTAGCTCTGATTGCAAATCAGAAAAACTATAACATGTAAATGTTCTTAATTTCTATTTGAGTTCATATTTCCATCAGATATCATAGCTAGAAAGCGGAACATTACTTGGAGGAAAAAAAAAATATCTTTTTCTCCAGTGAAGCATCTTTCAGTGTGATCCTGAAGATGTTCTTAATGACTCAGAAGTTTGAAAGTTAAATAATTTCTTGTATGGTGTATGGAGTGCTCACAATTTAAAGGAATCCTACTATAATTTATTTGGAGGCTCATAAGTTATTTTCTAATATAAATAATCATCCCTTATTTCCTGTTATGTCTGACTGTCTTGTGTTTCACATTTCTTTGAAGTAGGGGTGTAAGTATTCTAGAGAGATGGCTGCTTGAGCAGGCTCAGAGGTCAGTGTAAGCATTACTGCCTTCCATAATGGTTGCACCATTTCACATTCCCATCAACAGTGAATTAGGGTTCAAATTTTTTCACAACCTTGCCAGTGTTTGTTGTTTGCTGCTTTGATAAACTTTGCTATTGTTACTGGAGTGAGATGATATCTCATAATTGTTTTGATTTACATCTCTCTTAGAACTAGTAATTTTAAACATTTCTTCATGTGTTTGTTTGCCATCTGAATATGTTCTTTGGTGAAGTGTCTGTCCATATACTGTGCCCATTTTGCGACTGGGTTGTTTATCTTGATATCGTTGAGGTGATGGACTATTCTATAAATTTTAGATATAAGTTCCTTATCAGACATGTCATTACCAAATTTTTTTTTCCCAGTCTGTGGCTTTCCTTTTTTACCCGGTTAGAAAAGTTTTTGGATGCACACAGGAATTTGATTCTTAGAAGATCTCACTCATTTATTGTATTCTCTCCTGGTTTTAAGTTTTTCAATATTCTTGGCAAACTGTTCATGTTGTGGATTAGGGCTTCTAGAGTTCTTCCAAGTTTTTCTCTGATGAAGTTTTGTCCAGGTCCTTAATTCACTTTGAGTTGGTTTTTGTGTATAGTGTGAGGTGTGGGTCTTGCTTGAGTTTTCTACAGATAGTTTTCCCAACACAATTTAGTAAAAAAGGCTGTATTTCCTCACTTAACTGATCTAATCTCCTTGTCAAAAATCAGTTGACCATAGGTAGATGAGGTAATTTCTGGGTTTTCAATTCTATTCCATTTACCTAAGTGTCTGTCACTGTATCAGTACCATGCTGTCTTGACCACCATGGCTGTGTAGCTGGATTTGAAATCAGGGAATATTATGTCTCCCACCTTCTCTTTTACAGGAGTGCTTTGCATATTCGGGGTCTCTTTGCATTTCACTTGTTTTATTGACGCTTTAAGCATTATGTAGTGAACGTCTTTGTCCATTGTGATGATTTTGAATCTATTTTATCAGAGATTAATATTGCTACTCCTGCCTTTTTATGGTTGCCATTTGTTTGATATATTTTTTCCTTCTTTTTCTTTTTTAGTCTTTCCTTAACTTCACTTTTCAGATGTGTCTTATACACAGCATATTGATGAGTTTTGATTTTGGTGTTTTGTTATTGGGGGTTTTTTTTAGTTGTTGTGTTTTTTGGTTTTGGGGTTTTTTTAATCCAATCTGCTACTCTTTTTCTCTTCAGTGGTACATTTAAGCCATTCACAGTCAGTGTAATTATTGAGAGGCAAGGTTTTATTGTTATCGTTTTGTTGAGTTCTTTTTGATGTTGTTGCTGCTTACTTTGGTCCATTCTGGTTTCTGTGACACTATAAGAAGCACCTCTCAAACTGTTTCCTGCACTGCTGGTCTTATTTTTGCTTCCTTTCTTTCCTTCCTTCT